TCCAAGTTCATAATGTGTATATTACATTCTGACCAATCCCAACATTAACTCGTTTGAAACATGTGATCTACACTCAAATGAATTCATACTCTTAATTTATAAAGGTACAGTTAAAAATTTACAAAACTGATTTTTATTCTTCCATTTAAAATATGATTGGGGCGCCTGACTGGCTCAGTCAGAAGAGCATGCAACACTTGATCTCAGGGTTGTGAGTTCAAGCACCACATTGGGTGTACATTACTTAAAGATTTTTTAAAAATCTTTAAAATATGATTTAAAAAATAAAAATAAAATATTATTAAATACATCTTGTATTTAAATGCATACCAGGTCAAGAGGGTTAGTCATTGATTTTTATTTTCTTCTTTGATACTCGCTAATGCATTTTGAATCTCAGGACTGAATCAGGTCTTCTGGAAGCCTGAAAAGGGAAGTGGTGGTATAGGTGTGCAGAAATGTGTTATCTGGGTTACACAGACCTACTTCCTTCTGGTTATACAATTATATTTCTGTACTTAAAGATTTGTAAATACTATTTGATCTTTTTTTTCATAAAAATCATTTGTCCTATAGATACCAGTAGCTTTCATTTGATGGCTTTTTAAAAATGGTGTTGTATGAGAACATTTAACAAAAGCATGAATAAATATTAGCATTAATTTGGGAATAATACACAAATAAGCTTTTCAGGTCTGGAGGTGAACAGTTATATTTCTTTTGTTAATTAAAATTGGTTTTCTTGATTTTACATAATTTTGACATTAGAGAAAATTTGATTGTTTGAAAGTAAAAGAAAATTGCTAGAGTATCTCTAAAGCATACATAGATTAACAAACACATTATTAATGCCTTTTATTTTAGAATTTTTACTCCAAGATAGTTTAGAATGTTTGGGAAAAAGCAAGCCATTTCTACATAAATTATCATATTTTTTGATTGTCCTAGAGGAAACAAGAATAATTTTAAATAATATTTTTATCAATAAATAATTCATTTCCTTAATGGGTTAGTTTCAGGAACCACATAGATTACATTCTTTCAATGAGATTTATTGTGGGACACATATTCATATATGTTATAATTATTTCTGACACAAGATTACACAAATGAGTTGTTTATGAATAATTTACTATTATCTTTATAATATTAAAGCTTGAATTTGTTGATGTTCTGCATGTGAACCAAACAAATGAAAGTTACTAATAAGTGTTTGTATTTGACATCTGTATACTGTACTTTTTAGCATATCTCAAGTGTTTTAGTCTGTGTTTAATAGATCTCATTAAAAAAACAGATATCAGCCCCAAGACAGTTTGTCAAGACTAATATGAGTCCCCCTGGATTGCACTGACAATTTGTGTGAGGCTTCATATGATAGTCTTTTCATAGTCTTATTTGATCCTTAACAATTGGACATTAGTCACTGATTTATTTTATAATAACTCAGATGAGTTGAATATTACTGTATTGTGTTGGACATTTTAGTGGATTTTCTTTTTACAGATTTTACTCAGAGCACACATTGGATGTAAATGATGTATCCAGCCTGCTAGGGGAGTACTAACAATTGATTGGGTTAGGTTTGAGAGCAGCATGGGAAGAATGTTACTATCCCCTAGCTGCAAACCGTATTTAACTCCAGTCTTAATGAGGACTGTCTGACCTAAAGGCTTTGAAAAATTACAAATGCTCAGCATTCCACTGTCATGTTTTTTATTTTTTTGTGACTAAAAATGTGGATATAAATATTTTATATCAAGTATTTTTTTAAATCTTAACATATAAAAATATTTAAACAATTTTTAATGTTTTATGATTTATGTTTTTGAATTTCAAAAACAAGTTATAAGATATAATCTCAGGGTATTCCATTTTAAATTATTTGTAGTCTTTCCCTCAGTAATTTCCTCCTGCTTGTCTTTACCTCTTACCTCAAGTCTTTGCTAAGTGCATTTGTTTATTATTACATACTTTTGGCTAGGCAGTTGTCATTCACTACTACCAAAGGGATGTTAAAGTCCTGAAATAACTTTGTACTGAGATGATTTCAAACCTTTTTGGAACTCTTATCCCCATAGCAGTTGTTCTTTTGGACCCCTTTTTAAAACTTGGGTAAATTGCAAGAAATGCTTGAAGACCACTACTGAGATTTTTAGTTCAGTTTTAAAAAATGTATTTAAAGTCTACCCATGAACTTCTGGAAAAGATTTTGCCAGTAATTCCATGAATTACTGAGCAGCCCCTTAAGGCTTGCCCAATATGACAGTGTTAAGAGAGGGGCAAACCATGACACTGTGGTCATCTCTGCCTGTGTGTTTGAGGTGTAATGGGGGAACAGTGGCTTTCATTTCAGCATTTTTTGCTTAACATTCTGAGGTAGTATCAAGATATAAGGGTTTAAGCATCTAAATGTTACGAAGTTCACCATTTTGAATGTGCATAAAGAAGTAATCGACATTAAGAAAACTCACAATTCTTTGTTTGATGACACATAAAATAAAATTGCCCTGGCTTTTAGAGCTTTAATATTGAGAAAATCCACTTGTACTGTATCATGTGCTGAGCCTTCTGGAATTTTATAGTCTCAAATCACAACACCACGGACACTCAGGAGACTCCTGACTGTTTTATCTTATTAAACAATTTTGAAATCATTAATTTTTAATTAGCTTGGATGCAGGGTTTTTTTTATTGTTTCAATAGTGTGTGTATATGAAATAAACATTTTTTATTTAAACTACTGGTGAGAGTATTATAAATACATAAATAAGTGTAGGGTCTTTCTAAGAGTACATACTGTGAGTTTGCTTCATATAGTCACCCTTTTTTTGTAGACTCAGAGATACTACATGCTAATCTATTATAGTAGGGCTTTTTAGCAGTTTATTAACTCAGATTTTGAACAACTAAAAAGGATGTAAGCTCAAAGATATGTATAGGGCCTTCCCTGATTGAAAGTTCTAATTAAGTGAATTGGAGAAAATTAACTGAAATTAGCTGTCAGAAAGTCACATTTAAATGAGTGATGAGCTAGTCTGGCAGTAAACATTTAAATGATATAAATTGCCATTTAAGTGTATGGTTTAATGTTTGTCATGCATTAATGTGACATGAGACTGCAGTGACAATCAAGCAGCTTGCTCTAATTTGAACATATTTAGGGCTTTTGTGTGGAGTGCACTGCACACAAATTAAGACAATTGCTGTTTTTATGTGTCACTTTAAACATGGCCCCCATTCCCCCATCCCTACCCAAGGCCCAAGTTAATGAAACAAACGTATCATTTTTGTGTGCAACTTCCATTAATAATTCCTGAATTTTCAGATTATTTTTAAATCCATGTTCTTAAAATAGGAATTTACTTAAAGTTATTACAAGCCTTTCTCTTTCTATTTCAAATAACATATGCAGCAGTTCTCTTAGCTATTTACTAAATTTATAAATATCATGAGTTTTATAAGAGATGTCTAAAACAACCTTCACAGTTGAAGCTAGCTAAATATTTTTATTTCATTTCAGGTATACATTGGAATATGAGAATTGTCTAGAGTTTTATTTACAGAATTATTTTTTACATTATATATAGTATGTGGTATACTGTGACATCCTCTTAAATATTAAAGGAAATATATTATTTGAATTCAGTTGTAAATATTTTTAATTCATAGGCACTTATTTTAGATAGGGATTTTTTTTTAAGGATTTTATTTTTTAAGTAATCTCTTGGGTATCAACATACCCAATCTTGGGTATCAGCAAGGGCTCAGATTCACAACCCCAAGATTAAGAGTCACATGCTCCACCGACAGCCAGCCAGGCACCCACATAGGCACTTATTTTAGTAAAACATATACAAGTGTACACCTGTGAGCTAATAGGAACGTTTTTTGTCATAAGGTGGTTTATATCTTACTGGTTGCTTGCTATAGAGGTTATTCAATTTTGTTTTAAAACCAACAGATTTCTTTTTATAATATTGATGATGTAGCAAGCCACACCAAAAACACATCACAGCCATATACTTACTACACATAAAGTAAGCATTTCAATGAGCTACATCATCTGATGCAATTTGGTATACTTCAAATCGAGCTTCCCCATTTGAGTTTTAGAGCTCTGTGATTTGAATAGCACTATTTATAGAAAATTAGTCCATAATGCTAAAGTTTTATGGTGAAATAATTTTGAAGAATTTTAAATAATACAAATCTGAACACTTTTATAAAACATATCTCCAGTTTTTAAAACTCTTTTATATTTATAACTTTACTATTCAGCAAACATTTATTAGTACTTACTGTGTTTTAGGTACAGTGCTGGTAACTGGGAAGGTAATGATGAATTGGAAGTGGATTCAGCATTTCCACTGAATACTTGATTATATTCATTCATTATTTATTGGACACAAATAGCATCACATTTTTTATCTGGTTTGGTATTAATATCTAGAATAATAATTCGGTAATTACAATTCAGTAGTTATAAGTATGCCTCCAAAGATAAATTTTGTTGGCATAAAAACTCAGTTGAAATAGCTAAATAATTTGGTTATAGTTGTTGCAGTAGACAACGAAATATTTATATCTAGAAAAATCATAAACATTTCAGGTGAATAATAAATGTGTAATGTTTTCACATGTGCTGTCCCAAAGTAGCCTTTACATTGCATAACCTCCTTTCTTTGAAGCATAAACTGGGTACCAGTCAGGCCCTGAGTTACAAATATGACCAAAATAGACCCAGTCCTGGCCCTCACAGTGCTTACAGTATAGTAGAATAATACTGACATGTAAGCAATCTAATACAATTCAGCGTGACAAGTGCCAGAAAGTTTCTAATCATAAACAAAGGAGAACAGATTCTGATGGAAAATAGGACATCAGAGTAAGTCTATTCACAGTAAATTTAGTGTAAAACTTTATGGCTTGTTCTAAATTTCTCTATATTTTAAAAGCTGAATTCAGCATAATAATATGATCTGTGCCCTTTTTTTCAGGCCCTGGAGAGTGAATTTGTTTCCTGCCAGCTTCACCAATGGATTGATCTCATTTTTGGCTATAAACAGCTAGGACCAGAGGCTGTTCGATCCCTCAATGTGTTCTATTACCTGACCTATGAAGGAGCTGTCAATCTGAATTCCATAGCTGATCCTGTGTTGAGAGAGGTAAGTTATCTGACTGGATCTCTCAGGTATCTTTAGACTAGAAGGTACTAGATGTCATCTTCCCCATGCTTTCATTTTGCTTATGATGAAACTAAAAACCAGATGCGTGAAGTGACTTAAGCAGAATAACCTTTCATTTGGTGACCTGCTAGAACTTGAATCCAAGACTTCCCTCCAACAAAACGTTTGAGTCAAATTATAAAATGAGAGCTTTTTCAGTTTGAACCCATTCAGGGATCACTAATCATATTTTAATTTTTATAACTTTGAAGGCTACTCACTAATTTAAAGTATTAGGAAAATTCCACCTCATTTTATGCATTGTAAGCATGAATCTATTTAAATGTGATAAAACTCACATATAATACATAAGTCTGTGTGTAATCATATAGAAGTTAAGAGGAATAGTTAAGTAGGAAGTTAAAGTTAAGTAGGAAGGAAGTCCAAACCTTTCCTATGTCATGATAGCCTTGATAATTTTTTTTGTATTTTTAATCTAATTATGCATCCTCCTAATGCTAACATATATCATGTGCAAAGATTATAGGATTAAACAGATCACCTTAAGTATCTATACAATTTTAGAACAAGTGTATTTAAGAAACCAAGACTGATTCATAGACAGTGTTTTATATCACTTTAAAGAAAACATTATCTGTGATGAGTAAGGCTTGCCATTTTTCACCAACATGTGATGCATTCCTTTTTAATTCTACTTATGACCTAGTAATATTGACAGTATATAATAAGGACATATTTAAATATATTTGCCGGTATATATTATTGTCTGGTTTATGTGCCAGATAACAGTACACAAACAGAAGCACCATGTATTAGATGTACATTTGTCTTAAATTGCACAAATTTTGAATTGTTATTTATCAGTTTAATTTAGAGCTGGATCAGATGAACTCATAAAGACTTTTCTCATTTTTCAGTTCTTTGAAAATGTTCCTTACAAGGCCATTTTATTTTATTAGAGCAACAACTGATTGTATGACACAGAATATACATACTTCCATATATGAAACTGAGGTTAGAGCAAACATACAAATAGTGTTACAAAACAGTATATAATTTCATTGTTAGAATAGAATAGCATAGGCCAGTTTCCTTTTTTTAAAACTATTTGAACAGTGTTACTTTGTTTTATAGATGTCCATAATTCTTCACCAAATACACCACGTATTTTTGTTTTTTCTTTTTTTTTTTTAAGTATTTGAGAATTTCTTTTTTTTTTTTAAGATTTTATTTATTTGACAGAGAGAGACACAGCGAGAGAGGGAACACAAGCAGGGGGAGTGGGAGAGGGAGAAGCAGACCTCCCCACAGAGCAGGAAGCCCGATGCAGGGCTCAATCCCAGGACCCTGGGATCATGACCTGAGCCGAAGGCAGACGCTTAACGACTGAGCCACCCAGGCGCCCTATTTTTGTTTTTTCATGTTCCCTTATAATTATTATAAGTATAATTACTATACTATATTATATACCTACGTAGCTGCTTTATAACTGAAATCACAGTATAGATTTGATTTTAGAATCTCCTGTTTTACTTAATATACCAGCATATTATTTTATATTGCTATATATAATTCTGTATAATTCTATAATTTTAATTTTGAAATTCTGTAATACTCTGTGGAGTTGCTATGAAGATATACTTAACACTTCCTTCCAATGTGGGATCCTATTTTTTAAAAGACTATTGATTGATATGTCCAAGGTGATATAACTATACCTTCCTTGTCATTAAAGTTTATCCTGCATTTGCATGATAAAGGATGACTCTTAGCCTTGTGATACTGCTAGTTAAAAAGTGAAACATTTAATTAGCAGGTTGTTTATAGAATGTAATTGGTTCTTTGTTTTATGAGGTTTTTTTATTCCCCCTTTATCTATTTCACCCATTCCCCACATTCACCTCCCCTCTGGCAACTACCAGTTTGTTCTCTGTATTTAAGAAGTCTGGTTTTGTGGTTGTCTTTTTTCCTTTGTTTGATTTTTTTTTTTAATTTTTAAATTCCACATATGAGTGAAATCATGTGATATTTCACTTAGCATTGTACCCTCTAAGTCCATCCATGTTGTTGTAAATGACAAGATCTCATTTTTTATGGCTAGGTAATATTCCATTGTGTATCTATACCACATCTTCTTTATTCTTTCATCTACAGATGGACACTTGGGTTGCTTTGATAGCTTGGCTATTGTACATAATGCTGCAATAAACATAAGAGTACCTGTATCTTTTTGAATTCATGTTTTCTTTGTTTTTGGGTACTCAGTAGTGGAATTACTGCATCATATGGTAATTCTAGTTTTAATTTTTTTGAGGAACCTCTGTACTATTTTCCACAGTGGTTGCACCAGTTTGCATTCCTACCAACAGTGTACAAGGGTTGTTTTTTTCTCCACATCCTTGCCAACACTTTTTTCTTGTCTTTTTGATTTTAGCCCTCTGACTGGTATGAGGTGATAATCTCATTGTGGTTTTGATTTGCATTTCCCTGATGATGAGTAATGCTGGATATCTTTTCATGTGTCTGTTGGCCATCCAGAAGACATTTGGAAAAATGTGTCTTCAGGTCCTCTGCCCATTTTTTTTAAAATTTGATTATTTGGTGTTTTGGTGTTGTGTTGTATAAGTTCTTTATATACTTTGGATATTAACCCTTTTTTAGATATATCATTTGCAAATATCTGCTCCCATTTGGCAGGTTGCCTTTTCATTTTGTTGATGGTTTCCTTTGCCATGCAAAAGCTTTTTATTTTGGTGTAGTCTCCATAGTTGAATTTTGTTTTTTTTTTCCCCTTGCCTGAGAGGATATATCTGGAAAAATGTCCCTATGTTGATGTCAGAGAAATTACTGCTTATGCTTTCTTCTAGGAGTTTTATGGTTTCAGGTCTCACATTTAGGTCTTTAATTCATTTTGGGTTTATTTTTGTGATTGGTATAACAAGCTATACACAGTTTCATTCTTTTGCATATAGCTGTCCAGTTTTCCCAGCACCATTTGTTGAAGAGACAGTCTTTTCCCCATCGTCTGTTCTCGCCTCCTGTGTCATAGACTAATTGACCATACATGCATGGGTTTATTTCTGGGCTCTCTCTTCTGTTCCATAAATCTATGTGTCTTTTTGTGCCAGTACCATACTGTTTTGATTACTACAGCTTTGTAGCATATCTTGAAATCTGGGATTTTGATACCTTTAGCTTTTTTCTTCTTTCTCAAGGCTGCTGTGGCTCTTTGGGGTCTTTTATGGTTCCATACAAATTATAAAACAGTTAGGAAAGAAATTGAAGATGACACAAACAAATGGACAGATATCCTATGTTCATGGATTAGATGAACCAATATGGTTAAAGTGTCCGTACTATCCAAAGCAATCTACAGATTTAATGCAATCCCTGTCAAAATATGAACAACATTTTTCATAGAACTGGAACAAATAATACTCAATTTTGGCTCTTTGTTATTATTCTGGACTGACCACCTCTCTTCCTCACACACACCAGTGATTTACCATATGGTATTTATAGTATAATGCAAAAGAGCACTGTCCAATAAAAATCACTTGTGAGTGATGGAAATGGTCATTATATCTACACTGTCCAATATGGTAGCCAGTAGTCACATATAGCTATTGTGCATTTGAAATGTGGCTAGTATGACTGAAAAACTGAATATTTAATTTTATTTAAGTCTAGTAATCCAAACTTAAATAGCCCATATGGCTAGTAGCTACCATATTGGACAGTGAAGATATAATGACCATTGACTAGCTTATATATCTTTGGTGACCATATTTTCTGAATCCAAATTCTAGGCATGTGGTCAGACAATAGGACAGTAAATGTTTGTCAAATTAACTTGGTTAAAAAAAATATTTGAATTTGGTTTTAGTCCATTTAGATATTAGATACGTAATTGAAATATATGTATAAATGAAGTTATATTTTTCTTTCACTTAAATTAACATTTTAGGACTTCAAATAATGTTTTGTGGTAAAAATGTAGCATAAAATTTTACCATTTTAACCATTTTTGAGTGTAATTCAGTGGTATCAAGCACATTGTTGTGCAACCATTACTACCATCCATCTCCAGAAGTTTTCCATCTTCCCAAACTGAAACTCTGTATTAGTTGAAACAGTAACTCCTGATCCACCCCCCACCTGCCCTTAGTCCTTGACAACCACCATTCTACTTTCTGTCCCTAGTATTTTGACTACTGTAGGTACCTCACAGAAGTGGAATCATACAATATTTATCCTTTTGTGTCTGGCCTATTTTACTTTAGCACAGTATCTCCAGTGTTCATCTACATTATAGCATATGTCAGAATTTACTTCCTTTTAAGGATGAATATTCCATTGTTTGTGTATACCACATTTTGTTTATCCATTCATCTGTTCATGGACATTTTGAGTTGTTTTCACCTTTGGCTATTGTGAATAGTGCTTCTATAAATATTCGTGTATAAGTGTCTGTTTAAATCGCTGCTTTCAGTTCTTTTGTGTATATACCCAAAAATAGAATTGCTAAATTATATGATAGTTCTATGTTTAGCTTTTTGAGGAGCCACCATACCAAATAAGTTTTTAGTATTTATTTTTCAAGATCAGCATTTGCTAAAGATTATTTAAAACTTTTGCTTTAAGTTTCCTTGGCTTCCTTCTCTTTTCCACAACCCTAAGTAGTTAGTTAATTATTAGCAAATTAAATTTTAACTGGAGAGTTTTCCACTCATCACACACAAATTTATTTTTATATTATATAAAAATATATATTAGATTCAGCATTCATTTAAAAAACATGGCCTGTTATGTTCTAAGTATGGTAGGTACTCAATATTCTTGAAAGATAAATACAGTAGTCACCCCCTTATCCACAGGGGATATGTTTCAAGACCCCCAGTGGATGCCTGAAATTGTGATAGTACCAAACCCTATATATACTATGTTTTGTCCTGTACATACATACTTAACAATAAAGT